AATGCTCCTGTACAGCTACCCCACCGCAACTCCGTGGGTCAGCACGCGGCTCTCCTGATGGCTGCCCCCTGGCCTGCCTGTGGTTGGTGTTCCCTGTTGGATGTCCACGTCTTGGTTGGCTCATGACTTCTGGGTGCAGTGTTGTCATGGCTCCAAGAGTCAGAGCTTCACAAAAAGCTGTGTACGCGAGTAGGGACGGCCCATCACGTAGCCCCTATCCCTGCTTGCTACCTGGGAGGTGGTGCAGAGCAGGCACCCTTTCTGCTTGGTGCCTCCGGGCACCATGTTGCCCTGTTGAGCACTCATGTGCCTTGGGTCATGTGGCATGGCCACAGGTGGGCTGCAGTGCGGAGCCTTGGCCCATGTGCCCTGGGGCCCTGGGGGCATGTCCGGGCCAGCTCCTGCAGTGGGGTTGTGGGGTTGCAGGCCTGGCTTGTCACCTGTGGCAAGGAGGCTGGCCTCCCCACAGCCTTGCCAAGACATGCTGCCGCACTGTGAGGCTGCTGGTGTGGGCGGTGCTGACATGGTGCCTGGTTCCTGTGGGTGCCGGTGGGTGCCCGAGAACAGGCTGCGTGGGCCAGGGCCTGCTCTGGTGGCCGCTTGCTGGTGGTTTTGCAGTGGGCCTCGTGGCTGGCGCACCTCCACAGCTTTGATCTGATCGGTATTCTGTGTCTCGTGGTAGGTAAGTGTCCGTAGGTGGCATGTTCGTTGTGAATTGTGACTTGGAGCATTCAGAAGTACCCACCCATTTGTGTTAGTGGGTCACTGTGACCAAAAGATCTGACAAGAACAACTGAGAGAAGGAAAACTGTTTAGACTCAAGGTTTCAGAGGCCTTGGTCTGTGGTCAGTGGAAGCCCTTGCTCTGGGCTCAAGGTGCGGCAACGTGTGATGACCAGCTGTTAGCTCCCCGTGGCGAGCGAGGATCAGGGACAGAAGGTGTAGCCCCAGGCTCACCTTCGACCTGCCTCTCCAGCCCCGCCCCACCGCCTGCAGTGGCCCCCAGTTCTCTCAGAGCACTGGCCGCCAAGTGGGTGAGCCTGCCGTGAGGCCACGGCCCTGCAGCCCATTCACTCCGCCTGCACTGCCTCCTGTGGGCTTCCTGGGGAACACTGCGTCCAGACCACATGTCCAGCCTCCACAGTGGGCTTGAGGCCCACATTGACTGGCCTCACGAGTGGCCCTTGTTGTGGGGGTCTGCGGCCTGCAGCAGGGAGGGGACGGTGCTTCCTGCTCGGCCTGGGTGCGTGTCCTCCAGGCTCTGGTGTCAGGGAGGCTGCTCTGTGCTCCGTGGCCCCGTCCAGTGCCCTCACCTGCTGTGATATAGCTGTTAGCCACTGTACCTTTTGGTGGCTGTTCTCCAGCTCCCCTTCCCCCCCACTCTGCTGGCTGCCAGCGCCAAGGCCCCCCTCTGACCTGCACTGCCTGGCCTGGGGTCTCCCCTCTGCAGCCTTGTCCCTGGCCTGGTCTCCGTGGAGAGTGTGTCCAGCTGTTCTGCGCTGCCCTGTGTGCTGTGCAGCCTGGTGACAGGCGAGGATGCGCTGAGTGCCCTTGCGTCTTGTGGTTGGAGATGCCATCTGAGAAGTGGGACCCGCCATTCTGTGCCCTTGCAGTTATTCCCTGTCTCCGCCCGCAGGCTCCTCTGTGCTGGGCTGACCCCGGCCGTGGGCTGGGGTCAGGATTCTGGGATCTAGACGGGCTTCCAGCCTCAGGTCGGGGCCACATCTGCCCCCTGCTGCTCAGGTCCTCACCCCTGGTCTCCCAGCCCTCTCTTCCTGGGCCCCGTCCCTCTTCAGAGCTGCTGGCCAGCATTCCTCGCCACGTCTCCTCCCCCACGGTGTGCTGTGCTGGCTGGACGTGGCTAACCGTTTCCTGGCTGGCCTTAGCTTGGCAGGGATTTCCCACCTGGGCGCTCCCCGGACTGTGCCCTCTCTCTCCACCCTGGGCGCTGGGCGCTGGGCGCTGGGCTTCCTGCTCCCTGCTGTGAGGCGGTGGCGCCCTCTGCTGGCAGTGCTGCAAGTCCAGGCTGCCAGGGCAGGGTTTCTGGGTATTTGGGGTGGGACACGGCACTGACTACGTGGACTCTGTCTTGGGGGACCAGAAGCTCCCCTGCATTCCTCTCCCCTTCCCTGCCAGTGGTCAGGGGCTCTTCTCAGAATTCTCCGTTTCCATTTTGGCCCTCAGAGGCCCCTTCAGGCCTGTGTTGGGCCCTTCACCTGTCCTGTGCTCCCATGCCAACTGTGTCAGTCTCAGGCCTCTCTGGGCTGGCTTTCAGCACGCGGGGCCCCTGCCGTGCTCCCCAGCTTCTTGTCTTTGCCAGGCGGCCTCGCTCGGGAGGTGGCGGATGGTGCCCCGGGAGCCGTCCTGCGTTCTCGGTCACCTGAAGAGTGGTGCCCTCCGGTATGGGGGTGGCGCGGCCTTGCGCATCCCTTTGCTCAGTGCTTGGAATGGGTGGTGGGAGGGGCCGGGCCACAGCTGACGTTGTTTCAGCTGAGTTTCTGAGCATTCGTGGGTGTCCTTTAACCTCCCCAACATGAGCTGGACTCTTGTGGGACAGCTCAAGCAGGTGAGGGGTCAGGGTGGCTGCCAGCAAGGGTCAGGTGGTGACAGGCAGATGGGGGCTGGGGCCGATGGCCACCCTCCCCGGGAGCTCGTCCTGCTGTCCTAGGGCTGCTGTGGGTGTTGCTTGAGCAGGTGGAGAATCACCTTCATCTTCACCCTCCCAGCAGCGGGCATTTTCTGCTCCAGGGCAGCCCCGAGGCACTGGGGACACTCCGTATGGGGGTGTGCTGCAGCAGGTACTGCTCCCTTGGGAGCCCCCTTCTGTGGCTGCACCTGCACTGGCCACTCTGGACAGGAGGACCCCACAGGAGGATCCTTCTGTGGGCTTTATTTCCTGGGTTGAGTTTTACAGTGGAAGGTTGGTCTCCTTTCTTTGGCTTTTTGATGGTGCTCAGACTGGCAGGGTGACTGTTGGTGTGCCGCACAGGGCAGGCTGGGCTGGGCTCAGGGAGGGTTGCACGGGCTGCTCTTGCTGAGCAGCAGAGCTCCTGGCAGGAAGGTCACAGCTCTGGCGGGTGCTGGGACTCACCTGGGTCCTCTGTCCTCTCCGCTGACAGTGCAGAGCCACCTGCTGCAGTGGGCTGCGGGCAGAGCCCCAGTCTCAATGGTGGGGCACCTCTTGCCTGTCCAGGACCCTGTGGTGTTTCCTGCCAAGGCTCCCCCAGCTCTGGGGAGCTGTGAGATGCCACAGGCCAGATGACCTGCTTGGCAGAGTGGCGAGGCCTGGTCTGGGCCAGGTGGTCAGAGCAGTTGCTGTGCCAAGCAGCATGGGCTCCAGCCTTCACCTCTCTCCTGCAGCCCAGAGCTTTGGCTGTAGTCACAGAGCCCAGAGTCTGTGGCTTATGGGCCACGGCCCTTCTCCTCCAGAGCTGGTGGGGGGTGGTGCTTTGCTCCATGGCCACCAGTGCCTGGGCTGTAGGTGGCCGGGCAGAGCAGGCTGGGCCCTCTGTGGGCGCTCACACTGGCTGTCAGCCAGTCTTGGGCACCGGTTTTGATGCTGCTCATGTGGTTCCTGACTTTGCTCCTGAGGAAGCCTTGCCTGTGTGCCAGCCTGGCGATGTGGCGAGGCCATGGGGACCTGCCCACCTGTGGCTGCAGTGGTGCCTCTGAGAGCCCAACGCCATGGCTCTCTCCCTCTAGCTCCAGGGTCACCAAGACAGCCAGCTCTTGTCACCAGGCAACCTCTCCAAGCGAGGCCGGCTTGGCCCAGCGTGGTGGTCTCGTGCTGAGGGAGACCTCTGCCTTGTCCAGGCGACCTAGTTCTCACTCTCAGGAACCCCGGGGATGTGGCCAGTCCTCCTCCCCCTGCCCCTCACTGGCTTGTAGCTGGTGTCCAGGGCACCTGCAGGGAAGCCCGCCTCCGCCGTTCCTGCTTCTTCTGTGTGTGGATGTCCACCAGCCATTTGAAGGCTCCGTGGTCTACAGGAAACCCCGGGAGGCCGTCAGGAGAGCCCCGACTTCTTCATCCAAGAGGAAGTGGCCACTGAGGTCGTGGAGGTGGCTCAGAGCACCTGGGGAGCATCCTGGCTGGCTTTGGCATGATGAGCAAAGAGAAGCCATTACAGCCTGGGCCACCATCCATGCCAGCTGCCTGGCCTGCCACCTGCTGGCCCTGGGAGACTCTGGCTCCTTTCACTCTTGCTGAACAGCAGGGCAGTGCCAGCGCCAGGTGTGCTGAGTTCACAGGAGCAGCCCACCTCCCACCTCTGGGGATAGACCCCGGGGGCTGCCCCGGGGGGCGGGGCGGGCGACGCCACCTGTGGGGGATTCTGGAGCTTGTACTCGGGGTGTCGGTGTGGGGGGGTGGCAAGAAGCAGTTGCTAGACGCTGCTGCTTGGGGACCCTGCACATTCCATACCAACCCGGTAGCTCTTTTTCTCTGAGCCAGAGGACAGTTGCCTCAGGACAGCTGGGTGGGCCCGGGCTAGGCGCCTGTAGTGGGTCCCAGTGGGGATCACCATCTGACTGCCGAGCAGCTGGCCTCCTCTGCTGACCCACAACTCGCCTCGCCCAGGAGCTCAGACCTGGTGCCTTTATCAGTGCAGCAGGGTGACATGGCCCAGGTGGGGCTTGGATGTGGGCCCTGGGCAGCCTTGCTGTGGCCGCTTGGAGGTCAGGCTGCTGTCCCGGGGCCTGCCAGCCTCTTGCCTTGGGACGGAGTGCTCGTCTTTCTCTTCCTCCCCACCAGGGCCAGAGTGTGATCCTTGTGGGGCATCTACGGGTGGTGGTCTGAGCGTGTGCTGTACAGTGGGGTCTCTGGCCCTGACCCCTCCTAGATAGGGACTTGAACACATCAGCTGGAGCTCTAGCCCTGCTGGAAGGAGCCCGTGCCGTGTCCGGGTGCCGGGGACCCCGGGGGCACTGAGGCTGCCTCCTCCGTCTGCTCTGCAGCCCACCTCTGAGCCCCACTGACACCCGTCTTCTCCTCTCTCCTCACAGGGCTCGGGCCCCGGTGTGGCGGTCCCAGGCAGCTCCGGCGTGGGAGCCCCCAGGCAGTTCACTCGGCAGAGAATCACACGGGTCAACCTCAGGGACCTCATATTTTGTTTAGAGAACGAGCGCGAGACAAGCCATTCACTGTTGCTCTACAAAGCACTCCTCAAGTAACACAGGCTGCCGGTGTTTCTGACGGAGACGCCTGGGGACGTTTTTATATATTTGCAGATTGCGCCTTTTTGTAACAAGCAAATGGGATATTGTTTAAAAACAGCCACCTCTTTGCAATGGAACAGTTTTATATTCCAGTTTCTAAATCAGCTCAGTGTGGAAGGAAACCTCTCCTGTAGCAGAGAACACAGGCCTGTGGATGCTCCTGAAGGTCAGCTACGCCCCCGCTCATCCTCGACTGAGTGGCCTTCTTGCCAAACAAGCCATATTAAAGACTGACGAGCCGTTCAGTGACCGCGCTGCCCTGCCAGCTCGCACAGCCCCAAGTCCTCGTGCATTTTGGTTTAGTTCACCTAACGTACCACGTAGGTGTCTGTCTACAGCCAATGACCTCATTTCACTTATTTTATTTTTGTAACAGTCAGTTGGCTAAGCAAACTGATTTTTAGACTATTTATCTTCCTCCTCTTCCCCACTCGGCTTGAAGTTCTGCAGGAACGTGCGGTTCACCGCAGCACCGTCACCTCGAGTGGGCCCGCCGTCCCGCCTGGTGGAGGCCGGAGCCCAGCGAGCGGCCCCTTCTGAATGTGCTCAGCATCTGTACAAATGCATTTTATTTGCTACAGTTTGTGAAGCTGTAAGGTTAAAAGAAATGAGAACTTTTTCAGCATAAATATATTTTACTTGCACTGTGTTTTTTAGCTAAAAGTGAAAACTTAGATTAAATAAAATCAAAGTTGAGAAGAATCATCAAAAGACTGTTTCTCAGTGTGAATCAAGTGTTGAAAAATGGTTGGTGTATTTTGTCAGTAATTGTACATAATCTTTGGCACATAACATGAAAATGGCTATGTAAACTATAATTATTTTGCTAAGAGACTGTATGCCAGCCGAGGGCCGACTTTACAGACCCCAGAGCAAAGCCCCTTCTTTGTACCTATTTTTTTATTACAAATATACTAATTGGTTCTTTATATTTTCAGAGGTTATTGTATTAAATTGTCTATTGATAGTACTTTTATGACTGTAAATACTTGGGCTTTCTCCGTGTGGATCCTCACGTTAGACTTCAGTCTGCGCCTGTGGACTGAAGGCTGATCAGTATTTTTTATCAGCACCTGAGAACTGTTACACCTTTTATTTTATCTTTTAGGAAAATCCCTGTCTTTCCATTTTTTCATGTAAATTTTGCACAGTTACTTGTTCATATGTAAATATTTTACTTTCAAAAATGAAGTTTTTAATTGCTATTGTTTTATATAGGATTGAAAGAAAATTAACTCCTTTATTAAAAACAACTCTATCTGTATCTGTTCTGCCTCTTCTTCAGCCTCTCAGGATTTGCTGAGGTGTCCAGAGACTGCTCTGGTCCTGTGCAGGTGATGGTGACCCCAGTGAGTCCAGTGGGAGTAACTTTCCCTCCCAGGACTGGGCCTCCAGAACCCTGCTGTCCAGCCCTGGGCCAGGAAGTGGGCTCTCCCCTTCTGCCCTCGGCACCCCAGGGAGGCCGAGGGATGCCGAGGACACACACGGAAACCACCCTGCTGGGTCCCAGTGCTAGTGCAGACCCCTGGTGGGTAGAGGGGGGTCCCTGGGAGTGGCGGCCCTGACAGGGTACACTGCCTTCCCAGCACCTCAGGTGGCCGCTGCCGGTGTGCGTGGAGCTGGTCCCAGTGTGGCCACACCCTGCCTGCTGTGGCCTGCGTGTGGTGGCCCCTGGAAGCAACATGCCCATTCTTGTTCTTGCTGTCTGTGGTAAGGGGCCACACATGTGGGGCCTTGGAGGACAGACGCTCTGCCCCCAGGCCTGGATGCTGGAGGACCACCAGCACATGGGCTTTCGAGGCTCAGAGCTGCGGCTCCGTGGTGTTCACAGGCCTGTAGGAGCACCATCCGTCTCCACCTCCCCGTGGCCAGTTTTCACCCCGTCAGGACCCCAGTCATTACAGTCACCTGTAAGGACCCTGCGCCAAAGGCAGCCACATCCTGAGGCCCTGGAGTGGAACTCTGTAGATGCAGTCCTGAGGCCCTAGGGTCGGATTGCCCCATAACTTTTGGGAGGGTCACTGTGAGAACCACGCTTACCTGTCCAAGCCGAAGAATGGACTGAGAGAAGACACAGAGTGAGCGTGGCCTTAATGACAGTCTTGCAAGGTCAGGGGTCCTGTGGTCAGGGACACACAGCTTGGGCACAACCATGTTTTATTCCCTGGAGTGCAAGTTCCCTCCCCCAGTTCCTGATGGACACTGGACTTTATTTTTCAGAGACAAAGTTTGTAACACGTGTGGCATTGGAGACGGATGAGACTAGACCCAAGGAGGTGTGTTTTTTTTGGTACTGGGCTTGAACACAGGGGCACTCAACCACTGGGTCAAGCAGCATGACATCTCCAGCCCTCATATTTTATTGAGAGGCTTTTGCTGAGTTGCTTGGGGCCTTGGTAAGTTGCTGAGGCTGGCTTTGAACTCTTGATCCTCCTGCCCCAGCCTCCCAAGCCACTGGGATTATAGGTGGGTGCCACTGTGCCTGGCCTAGACCTGACTTCTGAGGGCTGTACTGGGAAGGTGTGGAGGGCACACTGGTACTGACGAGTGTGCCCAGGGAGGTACATTGATGAGGCCACCCTCAGGCTTTGTAGCCATGACTGACACTCGGCTTTCTCTAAGTCCTTGGCCGGGTGTAAGCCAGTTGCCTGTAAAGCACTGCCGTGTTTGAACTTCTGCAAGTGGGGTCGATTTAATATTGGCTCCTCTGCTTCTCTCACTGGGTCTAGTCCTGGTCCAGGCCCCGAGGTTCACCCCATACGAGTGCCACCACAGGCTTGCCCCTTGGGCTTCGCTGGCTGAGGCGCGAGGTGCCGCCTGGCATTGCCCCAGCCTGATCTCAGGGTGCAGGGCTGGATGAGGCAGCTCTGCTGGGGGGTCAGCAGCATGACAAGGACCCCACACTGGCAGTTGCCCTCGGGCACACGGGCCAGAAGGAAGGAACCAAAGCAGGTGTGCAAGGTGAAGTCCAGAGTGCAGAGGGAGCCTGCACTGAGCGCCAGCACCACGGCGGGCTCCCCAGGTGGTGGGCACGAGGCACTGACAGCAGGGACCTGGAGCACAGCACAATGGTGTCTGAGGTCCCTACTCTGGGACAAGAGGACCCAAAGAGCAGGCACGAGGAGAAGGCCGGGTTTGGGGGGTGGGGGGTGCAGCTGCCCCAGCAGCAGACCTGCAGCTCAGTCCTGGAAATGAGGCTGAGTCTAGAGTCACCTGGAGGTAGGGGTCAGAGCCTTGGGATGCCCAGGGGCCTCAGGCAGTGTGGAGACTGCCCTCCCATGCCTAGGGACCGTGTGGTGGTGTGTGGGAGGGCACGGTCGGTGATGGTGGCACAGAGCAGTTCAACACCCGCCCACAGGTGGAGGTCCCTAGACCCTGGACAGAGCAAGGGAGGCGTCTGCCCACTGTGGGCTTGTGCAGGGACAGGAGCCGGGAGTGCGTCTCTCCCCAGGTGCCCATGTGCCCTTGGGGTGGGTCGAGGAACCAGATGCACAGGCAGAGGTCTTGGAGGAGAGGCTGGGGAAGAGCTTCCGGGCTGCGGTGCCAGGTTTCTAGGGATGCAGACTCTGCCTGGGCTCCACGGAGGGCACCCAGGTCCAGGTTGGGCCTTTGGATTTCTGTGGTTGTAAGCTGCGCTCCATGGGAGGGGACAGACGTACTGGACTGGCCTGTCTTTGAATTCAGTGAATCCACGATGCACGATTCACACAGGTGGAGGCACAGTGGGAAGGCGATCGGTGTCTGATTTTACCATGTCAACGTCTTGTTCCGAGAGACGCACGCGTGATCTCCACTTTGGTGGTTGTTTGGTTCTGTTCTGAGAAAAAGAGTGGCACATAGGTTCCTTGTCTGAATCTTTTAAAAAACGTCCTGTGCAGGTGAAATGGCAAGCCGAGGCGTGGAGAACAGCACAGGGTGCATCCCCGGCCAAGGACCCAGGGCCCACAGCAATGTGCGACATGGGAACAAGCTTGGCACCGGCCTTCAGAGGCCTGCAGGTGGAGGCTGTGAGTCCACTTGTCCTGACCGGCACGTGCTGGTGGCACTGGGCTCACCTGAACTCCCTACAACCACTTTGGGAAACTATTTCCCACCTTCCTGATGAAGTGGTACCAGGTGGACCCTGAGACCCAACAGCTCCACCCCCAGTGTCGCAGCGACAGACGCAGGGGAGCCTTCATCCCGCCTGGCCCTCCGCAGGTGCATGCAGGCCGGCTGTGCAGAGCCAGAGGAGCACCCGTGGGGCCCAGCAGCGCACTGTGCGAACGGGCGGCACCCGTCCTCACGCCCCCTTCCCTTTCCTTCCCTGATGCAGGAGCAGCAGGACGTGTGCCACGGAGCCGCTGCCACTGCTGGTGGAGGGGTGGGCCGGGAGGGCGCGAGGGCCCTTGGGGGATGACCTGGGAGTGGTTGTCACACAAAGGTGTGCAAACCTGGAAGTCAGGTGACAGGCACTGCGTGTGCATTCATACCTGGCAAGATGCCCCAGGAAGGGTGCAGGACTTTGCCGTAGCTGGAGACGGCCCTCCCCACACTGCAGGGACCTGGCACCAGAAGGGTGAGGCTGGCAAATCCAGCAACCTAAACTCAGTGACCAGTCCTTGTGCTGGATGCCCCTGAGGAGGGAGGAACAGATGGTCACTAGGATGAAAGCTGCTTGCTTTGTACCTAACAAGACTTAGAAGTAAGATTGCCCAAGGAGGAGATGTGAACCAAGGTAGCTGCAGAGTCCCACAGTGAGACTCAAGAATACTGAGTCCCAGGCATGCAAAGACCAGGAAAACGGAATCCCCAGGGAGGAAACCCGCCAGTCGACACTGGCCTAGAGACGTGATAGGTGGCCGTGGTGTGCGCGCCCACCCGGAGTCACCACCGCCGGGCTGTGCATGGGAGAAGCTGGGTGGACGCGACTGCAGAGGCAGAGACAGGTAGCAAACAGGGAAGGGGCCCCAAGGCCCCAGGGAGGGGACCCGACCTGTGCATGTGAGGCCCTGAGGAGGGAGAAGGCCAGAGCCTCAGACCGAGCCCAGCGAGAGCACCCCTAGCGGGGAGGACAGAAGTCCCCAAAGGTGGAGCAGAAAATATTTGAATAATGGCTGAAAAGTTTCCGAATTTGATGAAATCTAAGAAGCTCAATGAAACTGAAACACAAGAAACATGGGGGCAAACTCACAGGCACATGACCACCAGCTGGAGGAAGGAGAGCTTCGAGCAACAGGGACAGGTGACAGACAGCTAGAAACAGGACACCGTGGGATGACGTCTTCAAGGTGGAAAGAAACAGGATCGATTTCTTTACCCTGTAAAAACGTCTTTGTTAGGAAAAGGCAAACTCTGGATGGAGTCCTCCCGTCAGACCTGCCCACAGAAGGGCAGAGGCCGCCTGGGGCACCGCGCAGGGCCGAGGCCAGCCCCCCAGACAGACCCAGAGTCGCGCCAAGTGACGGAGGAGGGCAGGAGGAAGAGAAGGACGCGCGGAACAGAGACCTCAGGAGGGGAGAGACTGACCCAGCCCTGGAGCCCCATGGAACCCGGCAGGGCACGCACCTGGAGGTCCAGCCGCTTGGAGGCCCGGGAAGAGGGTGGCAGCTTTCGGGCCAGCCTCGGAGACTTAGCGAGGCCCTGACTTCATGTAGAACAAAGGGCCGGGGTGCAGCTCCCAGCACCAAAAAATGTAAACAAGAAGCTCCACAAGCCCCTCTCCTCCCCAGTGCAGGTCCCGAGAAGCTCAGGAACCTGTGGTGAGCCCCGATGACCACTGTCCACACACCTTGTGCTTTCTTTGGACTAAACAAAGCCAGAGGGCTGGAGCCGGCCACTGTGGCCTGTCCTGAGCCCCAGGTGAGATTCCAGCTCACCAGGCTGAGGCCACCTGGCCTCACTGGTCCACTCTCTACCAGGTTTCCTTTAAGGGAAGAGCCCAGCTTTTCACTGCGGTTGTGTCCAGCCGGCTGCAGGAGCCTCACACCTCACACCTCGTACCACACACACACACACACACACACACACAAACCTGACACCACACACACAAACCTCGTACCTCACACACAAGCCTCACACCACACACACAAACCTCACACCTCACACACAAACACATGCAAACACAGTGCTGCCCTGTGCAACACACCACACATTGCTGTGTACACATCACACCTCACACCTCACACCACATACCAGTACCTTACACCACACACCTCACACCTAACACATACCCACCTCACACCTAACAC